TAAAATAAAATGTTAATAAATGTTACTAAAATGTTATGATTTTAGAAATTTCTCGGTTGTTCAGCTCTGAAATTATACTAAAACAACTATTCGCCTCAGGTTCAGTGAATATTGTCGAAGAATCCCCTCGACTTCGTCTCGGGATTATTAGACGATATTCAACTCGCCTTCGGCGAATAACTGTAAAATATATATGGTGAGTTAGAAAATACAAAGACTACACTTTGGTCCCTACAAGCCTGTTTCGTGATTACTCACCCTTCAGGGGATTTTAGAAATGATTAAACTGTTAGTAAGTACCCTTTTTCTGTTGATTAATGTTAATGCTGTATTTAATATATATGTATATATTTTTAAATACAAAATTAACATTAATCAACGGAAAAAGGGTAATTACCAACACTTTACCACTTTTTAGACGGTAATGCTCTAATAATACTTTATATAATACGATAGCGGTATTAGCACTATTATTTAAACTACCACTGTGTACATTTAATCAGCAAAAGCAAGGGGGGAAATAAGTAAATTTTTTCTAACCAATGTTGATCATGCCTGTTCTTGGCAATTGCAGCCTTTAAGGTGTCTCACGCAAGTTTACCAATTCATCTTCCTTCTCATCATCGGGTAATCGTGAAACGATAACTCGTTCCGAAGAGATTGTCCGGTTACTTTCCAAACTTCCTCAAAAAATGTTTGTCTCTAAAATTGTCACAGCAACGGTCTGAGGTGCCTTTTAACTACTACTATCACCTTTATGGATCCGTATTTCATAACAGAACAGTAGTTGGGTTGTAACAAAGCACAGTCATGATATCAAAATTTTTTTGAGGGGGATTAAAAGCCGCCTAACTCTACACATTGGAAAATGCTGGATGTCTGCTCTCAGTAGATCCTGAAAACCCAGAATAAAACCAAATGCCACAATTTGCTCTCCCATGCGAGAAAAAGAGTACCCGATCGATATTTTTCATGACTGGTATCCTCTACTCGCTGCCTGGAGATTTAGTATGCGGGAACTCGTCAAGATTTGAACATTTTTGAGACAGCTTTACTTTCGCTGGTGAAATGTTCAGATGTAAACCTCAGTTCTCAAGTAAACCTTTACTAACGTTGATTTTTCCCAAAGCACAAAATTTGATTTATTTACGTTCGCATCCTCGGCCATTTCCAGTGAATCCGGGGTTACACTTACAGTTGTACGACCCTTCGGTATTGTTACAGAAGGAATTAAGACTGCAGTTATGTGAACCTTCAGCGCACTCGTCAATGTCTAAAAAAACAGTCAACAAACGAAAAGACAAACATCAAAACCAATAGCAGCAGTAGTATACTTGACTGTCAGCCACCCATTACCTACCAATGTTGGTTACCAACTCAACTTTTCTTTTTTGATTTGCATGACATAGCTTTTGTTTGTGTCAAACTGTTTGTTTGTTTGTATTGGACGTTTCTTTGGTTTTCTCCAACAACCAAATTTGATTCTTGAATGTAACAGTCACTTCTTCTAACCTCGACGAGGTTCACTCGACGCCCTTTACCTTGCATTTCTATGCTGAAATTTTTAAATTGGAAAGTGCCGCTCTTTTCGTGATAGCCTTTACGAACCTTTTTATCATATAATTTTATTCAAGAAAATGATCACCTTCACATTCTCCCACATTTCCAACGAATCCAGGTTTACAAGTACAGGTGTAGGATCCTTTGGTATTGTAGCAAATTGCATTTAGATTGCAATTATGTAACTGCTCAGCACATTCGTCGATGTCTGAATAAGCGAAAAAGACAACAGCAAACTATCAACTTGTACTGAGTAAGCTTGCTCTCCACACTATTCACTTCAATTTAGACAAGATCCGAATAGTTGCTTAACAAGCTGGGTTGTAATGCTGAAAACTAAACCTTCGCAGTCTTGGCCGTTTCCGGTGAATCCAGGTTTACATGTACAGTTGTACGACCCTTTGGTATTGCTGCAAAAGGCATCAAGACTGCAGTTGTGTAACTCCTCAACACAATGATCAATGTCTGAAAGAACGAAATAGGCTATCATCAACAACAGATCTGCTTGTGAGTCGACTAGTAAGTAGCCTATCTATATTATTTTACATCACAAACTCTTGGTATGGTCGCTTACACAGCTCGTTAAGTTTTTTTTCAATAATTATCAAATAAAAAAAAATAAACAAAAACACACAAAAAAAACATGAACAAATAAGTTAATCAACAACTGACAATGGCGGGATAAAACGGTTGTTACAGTGTTCTGTCGATGAAGAAAGAAAAGTTGATAACTATTATAAAACAACTGAGAAACAAAAACAAGCGCCGTGACTGGTCAAAAACTTACTTTTTACCGCACCGGTAAAGCCATAGTTATTTCATAGCAGCAACAGACCGCACTTTCTATCGGTTTACCAGCGTGGTAACTCACTCGAGACGTTGGGAGAAGAATCGATAAATCTGTAAATCACGAGCAGGAGGCGATAGAAAATAAACCGATAGTAATTGCGGTCTATTGCAGAAGTGACACAAGGTTAGTAAATGCTTCATTTTCCTGTTAACCCTTTTGAAAAGGTACCTAATGAAAGGAGAATTATTGCTTACCTGTGTTACAATTGACCTCACAATACTGTCCTTTCCATCCAGCAGGACATAAACAGCGAAAACCTTCTTCGTTAAAACCGCTCTGACACACAGCGTTGTTTTTGCAAGGGTTTTTCACACAAGTGCTCTGACGCAGAAAGACAACAATATCAGTAAACTTGACTGAAAGTGTCTTGTTCATATTTCTAGCTTTATTTACATTACCTTCGCAATCTATGTTGAGAAGAAAACTCATGTTTTGATACAGCTCTCAATAGTTTGTATCACTAAAAATATCAAGGAAAGGGACTCGCAGGGATAAAAGATGAAAAGGTGATTTGCTTTCCAGGATGAAAGCAAAATTTCGCGACATTTGAAAGAATTGAAACAAAGCAATAGATATAACTGCAATAGTGTTGCAGCGTACAAGATTCTAAACGTAAGTAAGAAGTAAATGAATATTCACCTCTACAGCATGGTAAGAGGAATTTGTGTTTGACCTCAACTCGTGTTCGTGTCCTTCGTGAGTAGCATTATTCAATTCACATTTATAGTTTCCAATGACATCTGGTTGTTTATCGAGATTAACGCTGACACAGTCTGGCTCCATAAAACACATCATTTTACAAAACTGCTTCATCGTGACTTCAGCAACGCGAATTACGTGGTTTAAAAAGCGTCTGCCGTCGAATGCTCTATCAGGCCTGAACTCCAAATTACGACACTGGTCTGCTTCAGAGATGTCTTAACGGAACAAAAAGTATTTAACACATGATTAAATACGTCGTCTAACGGTAAAATCTTAAGGTCCTTAAGAATTATCAGTGGAAGGCGTAAGAGCATTTGAGATTCCCATCAATTATCTTGAGGCTTCCCTTCTCCATTCTTCATACCCCTTAGAAGCGTCCCCCAATCACTGACATGGCTAAGTGGGGGCTACGCGATCAGACTTTCTTTGTCTCGTTTGAGCAATGAAGCTAACGCTGTGCTTAGAACGGGAGTTCAGACTCCTTAATTTTATAAATTTCTTTTCCAAGTGTGAAATTTATCATTAAAAAAATAGGAGTTATTATTGTTCAAGTCAAGAAACAATGAGGTTTATCGCTCGAATCTTAAAACTTTAAATATACAACCGTTTGTACGACAGGAGAAACATTTTCACCAAATTTTGAATCTGGCAACATAGTCTGAAACAACACAAGCTAGATTTAGATTTGTAAGAGGGCGAAACCAAAGATTCCACCTGTGCCCGGGTAAGGAAGCTTAACCTTTTGGATTCTTTGAATAAAGGTCTACACCAAATCGGGAAATATGGCGTCCAATTTGAATTACCATTGTTCTGGACTTACTGGCCTCGTATTTACATGGAAACACAAAAGGATATGATTATCAAATATCTCGATTCAGTGTATATGCGAGGTAATCAGTGAAAAGAAAGCATCAATATATCATTTGTGTATGAACTTAACTACATCACTTTTTTTTAAGCAGCAGTCTATCAAGTCTTACAGCCTTGTGTCTTGGGCTGCAGTAATAGATTATGACAGAGAGGAGAGACCACTTTTTCGGAAATCTCTTTTGCGCTTTTGTAAGCGGTCCTTTTCTGATTATTGTTTACTCTTTATTTGACACATTTGGTCGAGGAGCTCATAAGAGTCGCCGAATGGTCGAAATTCCAGTCCTTAAAACATTATTTACAAATGAGAACATTTTCAGTACTCGCAGGGTAAAATCAAAGACGACAAGCACTCAAACGCGTCGTTCATATATGGGTAAATATATCACTGCAATTTAATGGAAACATGATTAAGTTTGCTTCCTTTTAGCTAACATCTTGGATGGCTTATCTTGGAGGTGTTCTGCGATCAACGCGCTGATCAAGTGAGTAATAATAAAATTAGGACCTTACCCATACATTATATTATTATCTAACTGTGCCTCGTAGAGTACAAATAACATCCAAAACGAGTACAAACATCTCGCGGTATTTGTACTCCAGAGAACCGGTTAGACAGGTTCTCTCGCATCGCGCAAGCGACAAGTTGGATTGAAGTCACGAAAAAAATGGCGGACAATTTAAATTATTTTTCTGACGACGAAGAGCAGGAATGGCTGGGAAATATTGATCTAAGTTTATTTCATAAATCTAACGAAGAAAAGCAGTGAAAATGCATCATTTATTGAACAAAATAGAAACAGCAACACAACAACGCGCCAATTCCTGGTTCCACTCTGCATACTTTTGTCCTGACTCCCCGTAAATAATTATCCGCGAAATTCACCCGCACTGAAATAATAATTTGGCGTGTTGGATAATAAATCTGTTATCAAAAGTTTTGTTGTGTAGCATCCCCACGTATTTTTACTCGGGCTGATCAAAATACGGCACAACTTGTAAAAATACTCCGCGATACTACACAACAAAACGTTTAATAAGATGTATATATATTGATTTGACGGCTCAAGAGAACTCGAAGAGAGCAAAAGTTCAATTCCACAGGAATTCCGTCGTCTCCTTCGTGAGGAGGTTAGTTGTAACAATGAAAATAATTTTGATATTAATAATAATTATAATGATGACAATAATAATCTGCTGCTGATGATGATATAGACATTTCAAAGTAACAAGCACGTGTAGATGTGGAATTTCTCCTCTGTATTATTTCGTTTACTTTGTAGACAACATAAGCCTTCGACATACGACCTGAGATTGACTATGGTAAACATTTTGCTATTGTTTGGTCAAACTGACAGAGTGATGCGAAAGGCAGGTGACTTGTCAGCAGCTGACTGGCGATATAAAACACACGGAGAATATCATCGTAATTTTACACGACTGCAATTAAAGCTTTTCTTAGGTTAGAAATCTTTGTAAAACACCGCAGTTTGTTCGATGAAAATAAATACAAAATGGTGGCAATCAAATTCTCTTTTTTGTTTCAAAAACATAACCACCATTACACCTCTGTGAACAAATCCAACGCGATTCATACGTTTGCTAAGAGCCTCAGAATATAGAATATAGATTTCAATCCATTCAAAGGACTTCAAAGGGCAGACTTCGTGATAACCAGCGTCTACTATTCGAATTTCAACCAGCGGTTTAATGAAGAATAAGTTTGGAAGTCAACACAAGTACGTTAATTCACACGAAAGTAATTTTGACAAACTGACAAAGATTGAACTTGGACAGGTGCAAACAAACTCTCATCGAATACTGATAAGTCCAATTTTGCTATCTTCCATTCAGTTCAAAATAAATTGACACTGAAAAGGTAACACTATTAATAATTGATAAACAACCTATTGTAGAAACTTTTATTACAGATATCTTGGAGTCATAATGACACCAAACTCGGCTGAAAGAGTAGTCACTCTGGATATTTGGCTCAGAGGATGAAAAAAAGAAGGCTTTCCCTCCAGTATTGCAATTGGTTGTTGTCAGGTAGGAAGTCGTCGCTTAGAATCAACCATGCATGCACATAATTTACTCAGGGTAGAACCAATCAAACAACCTTCCTACCTCCATGTACATAATAAAAGGGAACTTTAAGAAAAATCACATTTTTTTAGTTTTACAAAACAGCTCTCTTTTCCAAGAGATTAATGTTGTCTGCTGAGCAATCTAATATTTTAACCTTTTATCCAACATTGTTGAAAAACAACTGTCACGAACAACATGTACCCCCACTTGTGATCCGTTTTTTTCATTTTTGCTGAGAATATTCTTTATTAAACCTTTAAACTGTTCAGTAAAAATCATTACGCTCGCCCAAAGTTTAGAATCATCTACTGCATTTTCAGTCTAAAGTTTAGGGGTATTAGAATTTCAAACATTATCATCGATAACGTCAAGCTTTTACTTCTAAAGCAATTCAAATTCATGCAGAAAATATAGTTTTATTGATAATCATTGATTGTGTTCCCGAGTTTTTTTTTTTAATTTTAATTTTTCATATCCTCTGGCTGTAAAGTGTCCGTGCGAGTTTATTAGGGAGCAGGAGTCTCTCTGTGCGTGCGTTTGTGTGTGTACCCGAGCATTTTGTATTTCATACCTAACCCTGAAGATAAATGTTGTTGTGTTTTTAGGTATAGCTGCCGAACATTTTTTAGTCTCCCATTATTATTTTCTAGGGCAGCCAGTGCTCCTTTTATTTCTTGTAATAATCACTAAAACTACAAATATAAAATAACGTTGTTGTTGTAACATCTGGATTATTTTTTTTAGTAAGGTGTTGTCGGGATCCTAACTACTATGCCGGCCCATTTAACACTGACTTTTATTTTGTGAACGTAAACTTCCCCAGGTTTCCCCAAGTTTTCTATTTTCAGTGAATATTTTTGCCATCATTTTAGGAGCCAGAATTTACCTTGTAATCCGACTGCACTGGACATCATATAGAAGATGTTCATCAACAGAACACAGATGCAAACGCAGTACATGAAAAAAAAAAATTGTGTTTTGAACGGAATGACGCTTTTACATGTAAGTAATTAAATCTGATCTTAGTATATCTGTTCTCCTCAAGAGAACGTGTTCTTCGCCCTTAGCCAATGGGAATTCGGCTGTTGTCGATCACGATTTACGTATTGTGTCGAAGCGAACGCCCGTTGTTTGCTCACAGCTGCTGTAGTAGGGTTTTATTTCTTTAGTAATGGCTCTTCACCTGTCCTCCCTTCCTACGTCTCAGTAAAAAATTTTTCTCAGAACTCGTCACCAAATATTCCTAAGCCTGATAGTTCCTTCAGCCAGTAGTTTGCACGCAACATCTTAAGAGTAGTATGGTACATTTAGCACACCGCTCCAGCTGTCCTTGGAAACAGTATTGTTGATTGTAAATGGTGTTTTACTAAGACGAGAAAGGAACACTTGCAGAGTGTGAAAAACAATCAAACATGTAAATCTACCCTACTCATAGGAATAATGCAAATGTAATTGACGAAGGAAACTTACGAGTTATCATCCAAAGCAAACAACAATGATGACGGTCATAATTTCACGACCCTATGCTCGTTTAAACTTTGTTGCTATCTTCATCTTTTCATTTCTTTTCTTTTCTTTCTCTAGTTAGCAGATACTTTCCATCTCACGCATTTTTACATCAGCTTTCAAAGCCTGGAAGTCGAAAGTTTACTTCTATAAAGAAACGTGTTTGAAGCTTCGGCTGCGTGAAAATCGGAATTGCTGTATATGTCGTAGATTCTTCCTCGGATAATTCTTGTAAGGTTCAGAGAAAAGCTTTCCATAGATTTCCACAACCACAGATTCTCCTATGAGTGTTACTTCCTGACTACATTGGTGCTTTATACTTGTGCGCATCGAGTTAATGTAACATTACGTAAAGTCATCTAGATTGGTGCCAATATCGTAGATGATCAACATTATCATCGAACTTTCTAATGGAGATGTATATTTGAGTGCTAAGGGCAAATTTTCTTCCTAACACCGGCTTCCCTTTTAGTTTGAATTTTAGGTGGCAGCTGCGTTTCGTTTATGACCCTTCTTCATATAACGGAGCTAAAATTAGCGCCTTATACCATTACTAAAAATAGATTTTGTTACATGATAACCTATGAGCCCCCCCGCACAGACTCAGACAAACACTGCGACCAGCTTAAAGGAAATGTATGAGCTAGAGC